TGTATTATTATTATTCTTCAAGAGATATATAATATTTTTTTCCACAAGAAGGGTAAAAGAGGAAAAATTATTATATATATCTTTTTTTTTTTCCACAAGAAGGGTAAAAGAGCCCCTCCTTGAACCGTCACCTTATCGTGGTGGAGGGGTTTGAGTGCCCGAATGATCCCGGGAGCTATGTTGTCGGGGGCTTCATGCCCCTGGTAGGGTCACCCAAGGCAAACAGGTCCGGGGGGACGGGTCAGACAAAGAACGGTTCAGAAGCCCTATATGATGATGTCCACTCAGAGGCCAGCGACGTCGCCCGGATTGGTGTCACCGGGGCCTCACCCTGGAACCAGGCCTGGGGTGGGTGCTCGTCAGCGAGCGCCTGGTGGCCGGGCCTTCCCCCACGGGGCCCGGCCGGGCTTAGCCCGAAGGAGCGACGTGGGGCCGTCCTCACGTGGGCCCACCACCCGCGGGAGGAGCCATATGGGGCCGGTGCAGAGAGATCTGGGCAGCAGTCGACGGCGGGGGCCTCGACGACCGGACATGGAGACTAGCTCTGGGGACATGGAATGTCACCTCGCTGGGGGGAAGGAGCCTGAGCTTGTGCGGGAGGTTGAGCGTTACCGACTAGATATAGTCGGCCTCACCTCCACGCACAGTTTGGGCTCTGGAACCCAACTCCTTGAGAGGGGCTGGACTCTCCATTTCTCTGGCGTTGGCCGCGGGGAGCGGCGACGGGCTGGTGTGGGCCTGCTCATTGCCCCACAGCTCAGCAGCTGTGTGTTGGAGTTCACCCCGGTGAACGAGAGGGTCGCGTCCCTGCGCCTTCGGGTCGGGGACAGGTCTCTCACTGTGGTGTCAGCCTACGGGCCGAACAGCAGTGCTGAGTACCCGGCCTTCTTGGAGTCCCTGGGAGGGGTACTAGACAGTGCACCAACCGGGGACTCCGTCGTTCTCCTGGGGGACTTCAACGCCCACGTGGGCAACGACAGTGACACTTGGAGAGGGGTGATTGGGAGGAACGGCCTCCCTGATCTGAACCCGAGTGGTGTTTTGTTATTGGACTTATGTGCTAGTCTCAGTTTGTCCATAACGAACACCAAGTTTGAGCACAAGGGTGTCCATAAGTGCACGTGGCACCAGGACACCCTAGGCCTGGTCGATGATCGACTTTGTAGTCATGTCATCTGACCTCCGGCCGCGTGTCTTAGACACTCGGGTGAAGAGAGGGGCTGAGCTGTCAACTGATCACCACCTGGTTGTGAGTTGGGTCCGCTGGCGGAGGAGGAAGCCGGAAAGACCTGGCAGGCCCAAGCGTGTAGTGAGGGTCTGCTGGGAACGTCTGGCGGAGCCCTCTGTCAGAGGGACTTTCAACTCGCACCTCCGGGAGGACTTCTCCCGGATTTCGGGGGAGGCTGGAGATATGGAGTCTGAGTGGGCTTCATTCTTGGCCTCTATTGTCAATGCAGCTGCTCGGAGCTGTGGGCGTAAGGTCTGTGGTGCCTGTCTCGGCGGCAATCCCCGAACCTGGTGGTGGACACCGGAAGTAAGGGATGCTGTCAAGCTGAAGAAGGAGTCCTATCGGGCCTTGCTGGCTCGGGGGACTCCTGAAGCAGCTGACGGGTACCGGCGGGCCAAGCGTGAGGCAGCCCGTGTGGTCGCGGAGGCAAAAACTCGGAGCTGGGAGGAGTTCGGGGAGGCCATGGAGAAGGACTATCGGACGGCCTCAAAGAGATTCTGGCAAACCGTCCGGTGCCTCAGGAGGGGGAAGCAGTTCTTCACCAACACTGTTTACAGTGCGGGGGGAGAGCTGCTGACCTCGACTGGGGACGTTGTCCGGCGGTGTGGAAGGAATACTTTGAGGATCTCCTCAATCCCACCGTCACGTCTTCCGAGGAGGAAGCCGAGGCTGGGGACTCGGAGGCGGACTCATCCATCACCCTGGCAGAAGTCACTGAGGTGGTTGGCAAGCTCCTTGGTGGCAAGGCTCCAGGGTTGGATGAGATCCGTCCTGAGTACCTTAAGTCTCTGGATGTTGTGGGGCTGTCTTGGCTGACACACCTCTTCAACATCGCGTGGCGGTCGGGGACAGTACCCTTGGACTGGCAAACCAGGGTGGTGGTCCCTCTGTATAAAAAGGGGGACCGGAGGGTGTGTTCCAACTATAGGGGGATCACACTCCTCAGCCTTCCCAGTAAGGTCTATGCCAGGGTACTGGAGAGGAGAATCCGGCCGATAGTCGAACCTCGGATCCAGGAGGAGCAGTGTGGTTTTCGTCCTGGCCGTGGAACAGTGGACCAGCTCTACACTCTCCATCGGGTGCTCGAGGGTTCATGGGAGTTTGCCCAACCAGTCCACATGTGCTTTGTGGACTTGGAGAAGGCATTCGACCGTGTCCCTCGTGCTGTCCTGTGGGGGGTGCACTGGGAGTATGGGGTTCGGGGTCCTTTGCTAAGGGCTGTCCGGTCCCTGTATGACCGGAGCAGGAGCTGTGTTCGCATTGCCGGCAGTAAGTCAGACCTGTTCTCGGTGCATGTTGGACTCCGCCAGGGCTGCCCTTTGTCACCGGTTCTGTTCATTGTATTTATGGACAGAATTTCTAGGCACAGCCAGGGGCTGGAGGGGGTCCGGTTTGGGGACCACAGGATTTCATCCCTGCTGTTTGCAGACGATGTTGTCCTGTTGGCTTCATCGAACCAGGACCTGCAATGTGCACTGGGGCGGATTGCAGCCGAGTGTGAAGCGGCTGGGATGAAGATCAGCTCTTCCAAGTCCGAGGCCATGGTTCTCGACCGGAAAAAGGTGGCTTGCCCTCTCCGGGTGGGTGGGGAGTCTTTGCCTCAAGTGGAGGAGTTCAAGTATCTCGAGGTCTTGTTCACGAGTGAGGGGAGGACGGAACGTGAGATTGACAGGCGGATCGGTGCAGCTTCGGCAGTGATGCGGTCGCTGTATCGGACCGTTGTGGTGAAGAGGGAGCTGAGCCGAAAGGCGAAGCTCTCGATTTACCGGTCAGTCTTCGTTCCTACTCTCACCTATGGTCATGAGCTCTGGGTAGTGACCGAAAGGACGAGATCGCGGATACAAGCGCTCGAAATGAGTTTCCTCCGCAGGGTGGCTGGGCGCTCTCTTAGAGATAGGGTGAGGAGCTCAGTCACACGGGAGGAGCTTGGAGTAGAGCCGCTGCTCCTCCACATCAAGAGGAGCCAGTTGAGGTGGCTCGGGTATCTGTTCCGGATGCCTCCTGGGCGCCTCCCTTGGGAGGTGTTCTGGGCATGTCCCACCGGGAGGAGGCCCTGGGGAAGACCCAGGACACGCTGGAGGGACTATGTCTCTCGGCTGGCCTGGGAACGCCTCGGGGTCCCCCCGGAGGAGCTGGAGGACGTGGGGTGAAGGAAGTCTGGGAGTCCCTGCTTAGGCTGCTGCCCCCGCGACCCGGCCCCGGATAAGCGGACGAAAATGGATGGATGGATGGGTAAAAGAGGCCTTTCCACATTTTCGCCTTTGTCCCTTTCTCTTTCTATCAGCCGGGTATTGCCTCTCAAAGCTCCCATTGTCAAATGGCCACAATAGTATGAGCTGTTACCTCTGACTCATTCACACTACCACTTCTGTTCATGCACATTGCACTAACCATAGGCATTCCTATGTGAATTAGAGAAGTATGACCAGGCTTAACGTGGCACCACCTCTATCTTGTTTAGATCATCCCATGTAATTTAGATGAACATTTTTATATAACTAGATATAGTTTAAACATTCTTTGCTCATCATTTTGATGCACAGAGCAAAGTGAAAGCCTGCATTACCCCAAAGGTAACAGTTAACAATGGAAAATCAAAGTTGCTGTAGTTTTCACTTACACAGAGGGCGGTTAAGCCCTGCCTATAAAAAGGAAAGCAGAGTCCAGCTTTCACCATAGTTTGCAGAGCGTTTTGCAAGTGGTGAATATCAGCATGACTTCTGTGCAATATGTCAACTATCGAGGTTTTGTTTTGCCTCCACTGGCTCACTCCAAAAAGAGCCTGCAGTTTGCTGAGAACTTCACAGTGGAGGACACGGATGTATTTGCTGTGACATTTCCCAAATCTGGTAATGTTTTTTCGTTTAGCCATATCTGTAAACTAGTAATTAGAAAAGCATATATGTGACTTTGTTTTTTGTTTTGTTTTGTACAGATTCAGCTTGTGGGATAGTGGGAAATGTGGGCCGATAGGCGCCGATCCCGTGAGTGCGCGCTTAACCCTCACGCCCTCCTCGGGGTCACATTGACCTGAAGATTTTTTTTTTTTTACTTCCCGCTCTCTTGGGGCGGGTCAATCAGACCCAGAAATGTATTTTCTAGCCTGACGAGAAATTATTTGAAAATACTTTTTTGGGTCTGATTGACACCCCCCAAGAGAGCGAGAATGAAAAATAAAATTTCTTCATGTCAATGTGACCCCGAGGATAGCGTGAGGTTAATTTCTCTCTCTCTTTCTCTCAGTCACTGTGTGATCTGAGGACTGGGGCTCTGTGTTTCCCCTCGTGTGATAATGATTAAATCCTCGACTGTGCGCAAAGCAGGGATTTGTGTTACACCGAAAGGACAATGCAGAGACAATCTCTTAACCTCTAAGCTGTAATACTACATGGACCCGTGGGTTAGTAAAAGACCCGTGTGTCCGCCAATGTATGGAAGGGAACTCACCAGAAACATCCAGGAAAAAAATAAAATGTGTGTGTGTGTGTGTGTGTGTGTGTGTGTGTGTGTGTGTGTGTGTGTGTGTGTGTGTGTGTGTGTGTGTGTGTGTGTGCGTGTGTGTGTGTGTGCGTGCGTGTGCGTGTGGGTGAGTGGGTGAGTGGGTGGGTGGACGGCTGGGTGTGTGTAAGCGCGTGCGAATGCAGGACCGAGTCAAGGACGGGTCGAGTACGGACATGTCTCATTCATGCGTTCAGGATTAAAAAAAAAAAAAAAAACAGACCAAATTCTCATTGTAGGCGTGACCATGGATGTGACGTTAACAACACCACAAGTACATAAAGTCTGCAAAGGTGCGTAAACTGAGATACGACACCGAATTCAGTAGCGATAATGTCGTGTGATGAGTTATACCTTCAGTACCACGGACTGTTGCTGCCCAATCTGACGCACTCAGAGAAGAGCTTAAAGTTTGTGCGTGAATTTAAGTTTGAAGACGACGACGTTTTAGCTGTTACATTTCCGAAGTCCGGTGAGTAGCCCATGTGTCGCAAAATTGCTTATATGTAGACTTCGGAATATCAATTCATAATGTCTAAATTTGCCGACACGACACAATCACACAATAGGCTACTTATGGCAGTATATAAACGCTTTTCGTTTTATCAATGCGTAATGGTCCAAAATATAGGCTACAGGTTTTGTAGATTCTGCCCAAGTGGGGTGGATGTCTTGACTGAAAAAAATAAAATAAACATAAATAAAAGTAATATTTCCTAAAGCATTTCTAAACATTAAAGGGCTCATATTATATATAGTTATATTATTATTATTATTATTATTATTATTATTATTATTACTATTTCAGGTTATTTTAATAGATGCATGGCATGGGTTTATAATAAGAACTGGATGAGACACTCCGCCTCTTACTGTGAGTGAGATCGATTAGTGGCCACTCCATTGGTACTGCAGCTCGCAGAGGCTCTGTTCCAGAAAGAAATGTCTCATAGAGCATAATGCAGTTTTTGTGAAATCAAACTTCTCATGTTCACCTTTCACAAAGGTCGGATTATGTAGGGATTATTATGTATTTTTATAACACGAACTTTAAAAAAAAAAAAAAAAAAAAAAGTGTTCTGCAAAGCACCTAAAATGAACCTTGTCTGTGTCACAGATTATTTTGGCAGTTCCCCTTCTAAAGCCATACAACACTCACCAAAGAGTTAGTCATATCAGGGCCAGTGAGGAGTGTATCGTTCAGACAGATGACAAACTTTGCAGAATCATCAAAGACCACTCTCAACTTTGTAGGCTTCTTAAGGTGGTACAGGTGGTGTGGGATGTACCACACAATCTCACTCCCAGACACAATGGGAGCTAGTTCTGCATCACAACTCTTTGTAGTGTCATTCATGAAGACTGTAATGTTCATGGTACTGTTTGTCAGCCTTTAGCCTTTTCTTAAGGTGTTGCAGTCGCATAGTGGCTAGTTTATTGTTGTTTGGGAGAGTGAGTGGCTGTCTTTGAAAGGGAGGGACATTTTGTCGTGTCCTTCAGGCCTTTGGACTACTGTGTTGTATGAAGCAAACATGACCTCGAGACACATAGTTGTCCTTACAGTTTCTCTCATTAAAGTCTGATTCTAAGACCTTAAGCACATCAGTAGTTAATGGTAAGCACGTTTCTTGTACTGTGACATGATGCACAAAACTCTGGTTGTCCTCCCTGTCTAAATGGGGATTTGCTGACCCAATAATACTCCAGCACAGTATAGTTTTCTGAGTAAAAGTCTTGTTTACTTGTCCAGTAACAACTTCCAGGGGAGCTAAATCTGATGGGCAGTCATAACCAATTAACAAACCCACATCACACTCTTGCAATGGCTTCATCTTATCAACTAAGCATGTTAGGTATGGTCACTGAAGTGCAGTTTCTCTAGTGGGAATATGTGACTTTTCTATAGGGGTAAAGTCTCTTGAGTACACTTGATTTATTTATACATATCTCATAGCTCCTTACCGCTGGTTAGGAACCTCCCGAGCTTTCTATGCTAAAGGAGCTATGAAAGGAAGCATAATTGATTGGGGATGGCATTACTCACCAAATTAAAATATTTAGTCATTTGTGCCGTCATCTGGTCGCACATGGCTTCAAGCTTCCAAGAATCAATGTTGCATAATATAGGACCTTTAATCTGTAGGAATACAGATATTTTATATTATATTTATATTTTATCACCTAAAAAATGAGCATGCTTTACTTAGAGAGTATACTATATGTTTAAGAAGTAAAACTTTTTTCTTCATCAAGTCTGGGTAAATTCTGTTCAAGGTGACCTCTGCTTACATAGAAAAAATCAAATAGAGACATAAGCTAACCTTTTCACTTATTCTTGCAGGTACAATTTGGATGCAGGAGATTCTTCCTCTGATCCTGAATGATGGAGATCTGACTCCAATCCAGACGATCCCTAACTATGACAGAATCCCATGGTTGGAGGAGGAGAGGTTATCTGTCGTAATGGACCAGCTCAAATCTCCCCGCGGGATGGTTTCGCATTTCCCTTATGAGCTCATGCCTGCATCCTTTCATCAGTCTAAGGCAAAGGTTAGGTCATAACGCCATTAGAGACATTACACATCATGGTGGTGTAGTGACATTCCAAGTCTGAAATTTTTTTTAGCTTTCTGCCAATATAATAATATACATGCCTGAAGAGGTGTCAGATGTCATCCATGCATGTTTGATCATTTTAGCTATTTCTCCCTGACCCTATTTGTACCCTCCTAATGGTTAGCTGTAAGATGTTGTCCAATGATCAGCCTACATCTCCATGTTCCCATATGACAATTTTCTATAAATATACAAAAACATGATACAAAACTGTGCACAGCAACTTGACAACCTGATGTGCAGTAGCTTCACTAGCAGGATGCATGGTAATGGTGTTGTGATAGCGCTCTGAAGGAGAGTAACTTAGCACAGGGAGCAAAGGGAAGGGAGATGCAAGAGTGTGCAAAGTGAAACATAAGAAATCTGTTAATGCATTGTTTTTGGTGACTATAGCTATAGATTTTCAAAACATAAACAAAACAAACATTTGTTTATTATTCAGTTTAATGCTCCTAATTTCTCTATCAGGTCATCTATGTGATGAGGAATCCCAAGGACGTTGTTGTTTCATTCTATTATTTCCATCAATCTGCATCATTTCTGGAAGATCCGGGAACATTTGAGGAGTTTTTGGACAAATTTCTTGAGGGAAAATGTAAGTCTGTAAGTGTTTGAGTTGATTCTGAAAGCTATAAAGACCCATGTTAATGTGTTTATCTTAGTGGCATTTGGAAAATGGACAGATCATGTAAAAAGCTGGAGAAACACCAAGCTTGGAGATCGCATCATGTACATCACATATGAAGAAATGAAGGAGGTAAAGGGTGCCACATCTTTAAGAAAACTTGCTGCATTATTGTTATTATTGTTACAATAATACTCATTTCATCAACTGGTGCCGGTGCCATCGCAAGAAAGAATCTCCTTACAGTAATTGTCATTCTCACTCCGAAATATAGGGTATGCAAAATTGCCGCGATAGTGGCATAACTGTAATTGTTAACCAGTAATGTCCAAAAATGTACAGTGGGCATGCAAGCAAAGTAAAGAGGTTGCACTCGTCATTGACAATGGATCCTATGGGTGTGTTACTGGACACAAGTACTTTCCAATGACAATATACAGTATGTGCCACTTGTGGCTATATTTATTATTATTATTATTATTGACCTTTTCATGTCTCTTAGGATCTGCCTGCTGCTGTTAGGAGCATGTCCAGTTTTTTGGGGAAGAATCTGAGTGATGAAGTGATCAATAAAATAGCATACCACTGCAGCTTCAATACCATGAAAAACAATCCCATGTCAAACTTCAGTCTGATACCAAAGGTTTACATTGACTCTGACAAATCTCCATTTCTCAGAAAAGGTCAGTAAATACTATTACCACTACTAACAGCAGTTTAATTAGTAGCCAGATAGATAGTAGATGAAGAGACAGTGAACATATTGTGGTTATACTGCCCATTTTTATCCTTTGTTTTTAGGATTTTATAACTGTATAGAGTTGTTATCCTTAAATTGATGGGCAGAACTGAAGTTACTGTGAAGGAAACAAGAAGCACAACATAACCAGTGTTGGGAAGGTTACTTTTAAAATGTATTCCCCTAGAGATTACAGATTACATACCCAAAAATGTAGTTTGTAACTTAATCCATTAAATTACTTAAAGTGAGTAACATAATCTGAATACTTTGGATTACTTGGTTTGCTGTAAAGTAGCAAAGATGAGGAAATCTTAACATAAGATGTTTTATCTGCTAAAAGAAAATGAAAAGCCCAGTATTTACTTAACCGTATTAAAAATATTATTGATAAAAGAGGAGGAGACACAGTCTGCACAGCATGGTTTAGTCCTGTTAAATCCTGTTTTAGACCTGTTTTAGACCTGGTTTAGACCTGGTTTAGTTCTGGTTTAGTCCTGGTTTAGACCTGGTTTTAGTCCTGGTTTAGACCTAGTTTTAGACCTGGTTTAGACCTGGTTTAGTTCTGGTTTAATCCTGGCTTAGACCTGGTTTTAGTCCTGGTTTAGACCTAGTTTAGACCTGGTTTTAGACCTGGTTTTAGACCTGGTTTTAGACCTGGTTTTAGTCCTGGTTTAAACCTGGTTTAGACCTAGTTTAGACCTGGTTGTAGACCTGGTTTAGACCTGGTTTAGTTCTGGTTTAGTCCTGGTTTAGACCTGGTTTTAGTCCTGTTTTAGACCTAGTTTAGACCTGGTTTTAGACCTGGTTTAAACCTGGTTTAGTGTCCAGCAAAAAAAGAAAAGGGGGATTTAGCCCAAAATGTAAAAACAGCAAAATACCGCAGTGTAATCCACTTATTTCAACGAAGTAAATGTAATCCAATTACCTCTCATTGAAACAGTAACTGTAACTGAATACAGTTACTCATAATTTGTACTCTGATTATGTAACTCCAGTACATGTAATCAGTTACTCCCCAACACTGAACATAACTAAAATCTTTTAGATGAGCCATGGATACAAGAGGAGTTGCTCAATTAAGATGAATTAAGAATATTTCTCTTAACTTATTAGATATTAATAAAAAAAATAGCTCATACCATTTTTTTATTTATTTATAAAACTATGCGTTAGTTTTATGGATATGAGTTGTGTTTCAGGCATCATTGGAGATTGGAAAAAACACTTTACTTGTGACCAGGTGAGACATTTCAGCTCCACTATCAAGAAAGAGCTGGAGGGAGAGAGCTTCACTCTGCCGTGGAACCTGGACTGATCAATATATCTAGTCTTTTAAACCTTTAGTCATCATTTCATTAATAAGAAAATCATGTAATTTTCTCATTGCTGCTTTGTATTCCCAGTATATATAATATATATGTGTAACTTGTGCCTTTTTCTACACATTTTAACTTCTTTCATTAGCATTGACTAGCACTGACAGGTGATAGTTTATGTAACTCCAAGTGTAAACATGTCTTTCCACTCTCCTGCGGCAGCAACTAAAAATTGTATTCTGCTAAGTAATGTCTAAAGGCCATATCATTATATCATTACCAGTGATGGGGAAGTTTAGTCGATTAATCAATTATGATTATAAACTGTATTTTTTAATCTGACAGGTGCTGGTAAACCATCTTGTTTTTTTCTTATTATGAAGCTAAATAAATGTATTATTACTATATGCATGCAATTCTCCGTTCCTATGGCCAGCTGTGTCTATTCAGTAAGCTTATATATATATATATAAAAACATGTAGACTGTATATATAAATGTATAAAGTCTACCATACCAGTCATACCAGCACGCATGCGCACTCACACACGCACTCACACAGACACACATACACATAGCTGACAAACATGCGCACAGACACGCATGGACACAGTACATGGACACACATAGGCTTACTCTTTCTTTTCAATTACATACACAGACACATCCACATCAGTACAACTTATAGTCTAAAAATATCTTTAAATGGCATCCCTTAAAATCGTAATCTGGAACATTTGTGGCAATGGCTCCCAGACAAAGAAAATAAAAATAATCAATTATCTTCATAATCTACAGACAGACATCTGTTTATCACAAGAAACCCATCTCTCACACATAGACCATCATAAATTAAAAACTTCAAAATTCATCCACTCTTTTTCTTCTCATTACAATTCCAAACAAAGAGGCATGAATGTATTAATAAGCAAAAAAAAAAAAGCTTTTATCCACAATACAACCATCACAGACCTTGAAGGATTTTGTTATTATTAATACATCAATCAACAATAGCCTGGTAACAATTAGTAATATTTACGGCCCAAATACAGATGACCTTTCTTTTTTCCACTCCCTTCTTTTCTTCCATGTCAAACGTTTCCAACTGCCCAGTCATAATTGGAGGCAACTTTAACACAATCATAGACCCATTACTTGACCGTTCCAATAACACAAGCAACAAATGCTTCTAGCAATCTACTGAAAGAGTAAACCAGTTCATGAAGGATTTTGGTCTTGGAAAAGTTGGCGCTTACAACACCCAACCACTAGACTCTAGAGAATACACCTTTTACTCACCGGCCCATCATTCATACTCCTGTATTGACTTATTACAGATCAGTAACTCAATTATATTAGAAATCTCCGACTGAAGAATTCACCCTATCATCATCAGTGACCATGCCCCAGTTACAATTACATGGAAAGTAAACAAGCAACAAACAGGCCCCTAGATGGCACTTCAACCTATCCCTTCTCAATGACCCAGATTTCAACATTCATATCAAAAGAGAGTGGGCATCCTTCTTAGAAATTATTCCCCAAAGACCACCCACAATTCTCTGGCAAACAGGCAAAACAGTTTTAAGAGGTAAAATCATTTAATTTTCTGTTCATTAAAAAAAAAGAAAGAAAAAGAAGAATAACCAAGAAATATCAATTCCAACTTAACAACATTGTAAATAAACTAACTTTATTCTTAATTCATAAACCCTCATCACAGCAATAAATCTGGTAAATATTTGGCAAATCAAATCTAACGAAATCAAGAAAAATACTACAAATAAATGAAATATTCAGAAATCTGAACAGGACCCAAAACAAGAAGATATAGATTCATTTCTCAGGAACATAAAAACACCACAGCTTAATACAGAACAGATTAGTATGTTAGACTTACCGATAACAGAAAAAGAACTCTCCACAGCCCTCACTCTTATGCCAAACAACAAAGCATCCAGTCCCGATGGCTTCACTGTTGAGTTCTATAAACACTTTTGGTCCATTTTAGCCCCACTATTCACCAAAGCAATAACTGAAATTAAACAAAAGTCAGAATTTCCAGAACACATGAACTGTTATCTCACTCCTCCCCAAATCAAATAAAGAAGATCACACCCTATCATCAAATTACCCCCCTATCTCTCTCATCATTGTAGACATAAAAATCATTAGCAAAGCCCTTGCCCATAGAATAGAACAGATCACCCCTCACATAATTCACCCAGATCAGACAGGTTTCATCAAAGGTAGACAGGCATCTAATAATACTGTTCAATTTAATCCACTACTCATCATTACAAGAAGAAGACTCCATCATAGCAACCTTAGATGCAGAAAAAGCATTTGACAGGGTAAGCTGGAAATTTCTCTTCACCACACTACACAAATTTGGCTTTGGGGAATCATTTATTAATTGGATTAAAAATTTGTACACTTCACCTTCAGCCAGTGCCATTACTAATAGTCTAACATCACAACGTTTCACACTGCACAGGAGGACTAGGCAAGGATGCCCACTCTCCCCCTCCCTATTCACCATTTTCATTGAGCCATTAGCAATAACCATCCGTCAGAACCCCCGCAAATAAGGATTTCAAACAACTCAAATGCAACATACAATTAATCTCTATGCTGATGACATTCTGCTTACACTCCAGAAACCACAATCATCCCTGCAGGAAACAATAACCCTCATTAAATTATTCTCTAATATCTCTGACTACTCAATAAACTGGACAAAATCCTCCATCCTTCCATTGCACAACACCAAATGGGAAGCGACAGCTCACACTTCACATATTTCTTTATGCACCGGTCACATCACATACTTGGCCATTAACATTATCTCTTTTCATTGATTTCAACCCAATTCACCAACACCTGGTTCAGTTACCCTCCACTCAATATTCACTAAGTTCTACTGAAAAAATAAGCCACCAAGGTTCAAACTGACCACACTTCAAAAATCCAAAGCAACAGGAGACCAGATGCACCACATTTCTATCATTACTCTCTGGCTAATCAGTTACAGTACATATACATGTGGACACACCCCAGTCACTCAGATTACGCCTGGCTAGACATAGAAAAAACACTCTGTAAGGACCTCCAGATTTCAGATATGCCCCTCTCAGCAAATCAATCAAACGACATCCATGTTTCAAAGTAACAACCATAGCATCCGCTCTGACAGCCTGGGGGAAATTCCACACAATCCACAAAATTTGCACACCCATCAGGCACTTATAGAAAGAAATCACGGACTCACTATTCCACTCTATGGGTTTTCGCATCCCCATGTCCCCCTCACTCTGCCTTCTAGGAGACCTTTCAATTATCACAATAGATAACACAAACCATAAACATAACCTTGTGGCCCTAACTGTCACTAACAAAACTATCCTTATGTACTGGAAATCAAGGCATAGCATACATCTGACACATTGGGAAATCCTGCTCACTCACTATATCTCTCTGGAATACACATCTACCACCCACAACAGCACCCCAGTCATCCTGGCCCACCTTCCTCAATTTCCTACAAACGTAATTTCTATGATTTAACATATTTGATTATTCATCTCCCTGTTTGTAACTCTTTTCTTTGTCTGGTAGCCAAACACTTTCTGCTCCAAATTTAAATACATGATGATGTCCTGAGAATACATACACACACAACACACACACAAACTCATACACACCTGTACAAACACACGCAATGTCATACACTCACACACCACTTTATTTTATAAAGAAACAGGGATGGGATAGACAGGCTATATAAAATATTACTTTAATATTATTAGGAACATGGCATGATATTTATCTGCCTCGGGTCCCTAGAAGGCTGGGCTCTTTCTGCTGTTGCCTGGTTGTTGAGTGCGGGGGTCTACCTACAGGTGCCTAGGCTCATGTTTCCCCATTCCCTCAGGGCCTTCCCACTGTTCTGGTTTCCCTCTCTGGTCTACCTCCAAGCATATTACCTCCATGATACTTTTAATGCATCACACCCAACTTTTTAATGCATCACAAGTCAACCATGGGTGAGTGTGGGTTCATGTATGTGAATGTGTGCCTGAGTGTCTGTACTTGTATGCATGTGGATGTGCATGTACGTTCACACAGACATACATTCACACACGCATACACACACACACAAATGTCCACACTGCCACCAGCCCCTGTCACCTTTGTCCCGTTAGGTGTGTTCTATCAGAGAAATAAAGACTGGAATCGATCAATTGAAATTACAAAAATTTATTCCCTATTCAATACAATTCTAATACAGAGCTCTGGGTCAAATCACTGTCCCTGATGGCCTACAGCTACACAGGACTTACATCAGGTGGTCTGAAGGCCTATGTTTAAAACATCAGTATGAATATGCAAATAATATGTTGAGCAGGTTCACGCCTTGGGTCCTCCCTGAAGTATCTCCGTTGTCCTTTACCATAAGGGGATGACCACCAGGTTTAAATTACAGCCAAGTTTATTTTGGCTTGGTGCTAGCAAAGCCAAAATAAACTGCAAAAAAATCAGCTGCTCTGTAAAGAATTTCCTTAGAAGTACACAACCTTCATCTCTGCAAAGGGAATACCTTAAAAACTTATATGTTTCACATAGTGGTATCTTTAAACATATACATCAGATTTCAGTGGTTAAGCATTAACTCATTGTGTAATATTCAAACAAATATATAATTGCAGTATTTAATATATGCACGATACTTTATTACTTGATATAGTCTTTAGTCCTTATTTGTATGTAATCTTTGATTGTAATGTTTGTCTTGTATCTTGTGCGTTGTTTGGTTCCTATATTCTGTAATGTATGTAGTTTGCAAATAAAATTATAATACATAAAAAAAAAAACATTGTAACTTGACTTAAAGCTCAAAAAAGAGAGAAAAAAAAAGCGCAAATCTCTCTGTCTATGCTAATATCTACATCATTAAATCGATTTTTAATTTTAATTATAGAATCAGTCTGAGTGAACAAGTTACTTATGTTTTATTTATGATCATAACCTTAGTTTTGCTCAGGATGCTAGTCGTCGTTCGCCTTTACGTTTTCATCTTTCTTACCTTGATAGTTGTGGATAAATTCTTCATGGACAGCATATGTCCTTTGTGGACCTTGTTGGATGAAGATTTGGTGATGAGTAGGCAGATTTATGAATCTGGTGGAAAATATGCAAGACATTTCCACAGATTTTTTTCCATAGAAAAACATTAACATAGGTTTACCCTACATTCCGGCACTTCCGGTCGTGATGTAGGGTAAACTTACGTGAAAAAATTCTATGAAGCCGCACTAACAGCTATAGGAGTGAATATTGAGCCAGACATATTTGGAAATCTGACCATGAGTTTCATAGCAACCACAAGAGCATGAGTGAGGTTGTTA